CCTCTGCTAAAAGGGGTAAAGCACTAAAAACCGTGTCTCACAGCCCTGTCATGCGGAACACCGCAATGACTCATAGAAGGGAACTAGCCAGGTTAAAAGTTTACAGTCTCTTTGTTCTAAGAAAAACATCTTTTTTTTGTTTGTTTTGTTTTTTGTTTTTGGAGTTTTTAAGATAGGGTCTCCCTGTAGTCCCAGCTGGCCTGGAACTTGCTATATAGACCAGGCTGGCCTCAAACTCACAGAGATCTGCCTGCCTCTGCCTCCCAAGTGCCACATCTTGATTTCCTTGATCTAGAGCTGAAAAACAACCTTATCAATAACACCAAGCATGTGTGTAATTAAAATTAAGACATCTTAGTTAATAAGCTCTGACACATTCCCTGGTCTTTAACAAACGACCCTCTGCCCACGCTAACAATTGATCAAGCTATGTGACACGTATATGAGCACCCTTTGTCTTTGTCTAAATTGAAATTTATATGCACCCTGGACCCTGCACGTGTCCAATAGCCCCTCTTTGGTATATAAGCTTGCTACTAGAGAATACAGTCGGTTTGTTGCTAAGGAAAGCACAAGTCCCAGAATCGTTACTGTTGCCAATTCAGTATCTCTGCCTGCGAAGGAAAGTTCCTCCCTTGCTGAGCAAAGCAAACCAGTCTTGATACCCATATGCAGCTAAGGGCGAATGATTGGGTGGAAAGGGTAACTGACTTCCCCCACAACTCCTTGATGAGCGTGGGAAGGACATATGACTATAGCTTGCCGGCAGAGTGGTCAGAGGACACTTCAGCTAACATTCCACCCCTTCCTCTGGCTCTTACATTCTGCCAACCTCTTTGCAAAAATCCCTGAGCCTTGGAGGAGGTATTAGGTGTGGGATGATCTTCTTTCCATTGTGGCAAAGCACTGAACTTTCGGGTCTCTGCATAAGCCACTTTTTTTTAAAAATCATTAAAATATATACATGGTGGCACACACCTTTAATCCCAGTACTCCAGAGGCAGAGGCAGGCAGATTGCTGTAATATCAAGTACAGCTTGGTCTATAAGTTCCAGACCAGCTATGGCTATACACTGAAAGAAAAAGCAAACAAAAATCTAGGCCCAGTGTAGAAACCTTTAATCCCCATATTAGGAAGGCAGAGGCAGGATCTCTGTAAATTTGAGTCCAGACTGGTCTACACAGCAATTTCCAGGTCAGCTGAGGGTATAGGGAGACCCTGTCTCAAAAAAAAAAAGACAAAAAAAAGAAAAAGCAAACAAAAATCATTCAAATGTTCTTGGTTTGGGTCCATCCCTTGGAGTCGAGCCAAAATGCACTGTATGAAATTATCAAAGAATCAATAAAAGTATTTTTAATTTTTTTTACACCCACTTCCCAGGTAGCACCCTCCCATAGCTTCCCTCCCCCCACTAGAGCCCTTATACTCTGATATCCCTGCTACTGTCTGCTGTGTTGTCGGCACCCCCAGCCATTCCCCACTAATTACCCTTCTGGTGAATCTAGTCAGCCTATCTAGAGGTCTTTGTTTAGGAGGGTCAGCTGTTCCTCATCTAGCAGCAATCAGTTGTCAATATTCCTTTGGATAAGATTGGGGTCTGCTGTTCATTTCCCCAGTTCTATGTTGGGTTACTATCTGGGAGTCCCTTTCTATTATAACTAAGCCCATAACACAAAAATATATGCATGTATCATATACAGGTGAGGAAGGCTTTTCATTTAAATGTCACATTCAAAACAGGAACATTAATAATCAAAATAATGAACCATGATGTCATCTTGGAAAAAGAAAGACTTTAAACCTAGATTAACTCTGTTTTACAAGACTTTTTTGTACCACTGTCCTTGAGATTAATACACCATAAAAAAAAGAGTTTTGTTTAAGTAAGCCCTCAGAAGAACTCTCACAATGGAATATTATAATGTATCTAAAATTTTCCAATAGCCACCTCTAAGACTTAAAGGAATTCAGCCAGTGGTGCAAGGACAACGGAACAGTCACATGCGGAAGAATTAATATGGGGCCGTGTCTCGTACTACATGGAAAAATTAACTCAAAAATTATCGTAGACTTAAGGGACATGCTAAAGCTGTGGAGTTCTTGGAGGAAAATATGGCAGTGAATTTTTAATAACTGATTACAGCAAATGCTGTGCCCACAATATAGATGACAAACTGACAGATAAGGATAAGGGATAGGGTGAGAAAAATTGTACCTAATCAAATGTTTTAAAAGTTGTGTATTTCAAAGGATAACATCTGGCAAGTGAAAAGACGACCCACAGAACTGGGAAGAAAATATTTTCAAACCATGAATCTGATGATCAATTTGTATCTAGAATATATAAAGAACTGTTACAACTAAATAATATTCAATAATACAAAACCAATTAGAATCCAATTAAAATAAGCAAAGGATCTAAAAGGAAGATACAGCTGATAAATAAATATGAAAAAACAATGTTAAACATCATTAGTCCTTAAAGAAATGAAAATCAAAAATTGAAAAAGGACTTCACATACGGTTAAATTTTACAAAAAAGATGAATAGAACAATTGTTGGAAAGTATACAACAAGAAAGCGAAACTTTTATAAATTGCTAATGAGGATGTGTGATGGTTTGAATGAGGAATGTCCCCCATAGGTCTTACTGGAGGAAGCACATCACTGGGGGGAAGGGGAGGCTTTGAAAGTTCATAGCCGTGCTCATTTCCAGTCTGTCTCTCTGCTTCCTGTGCCTGATTGAAAATATGAGCCCTCAGCTCTCTGCTCCAGCACTCTCCAGCCATGCCTCCCCACCATGATGGGAACCTCTGGAACCATAAGCCAAATAAACCCTTCCTTCTATAAAAAAATTTTTAAAAAAGAAATCTTTTCCCACTATGTTGTTTAAAAGATATTGTCCAAAATGGTTTTTTAAATAACAGACTTATAGTTTTCGTCTTTTACTTTTAGAACTTTATTCCAATGGGGATTGTTTTAATATATGCTGAGTTTTATTTCTCCAAATATTTTGCCAGTTTTCAAAATAATGGTTATTAAATAATATACTTCTTCTTCAACGATCTATCAACAATTCTCCAAGTTTTCATAAACATGGATTTGTTTTAAATTTTATTCTACTTATATCCCATTGTAATATAAATTTGGTGTTTTTAGTACATGTACTGCACTGACTTACTGAGGTATCTGGTAAGATGTTTCTCTGAGTCCCCATTTTGCTGTTCATTTAAAGAATTAGCTTAGCTTAGCTTAGCTATAGATTTACATGTTCCCAATTCCCTTCTGTTGGACTTTTTGTTTAAATTACATTGAATTCATTTTTGTAATTTATAAATAATTTATCTTTATAATGTTAAATATTCCCTTCACATGCTGAAACTTCTCTCTACCCAATCAGATCTTTTGGGACCTTTAATAGCATTTCTAAATGTTCTCCACAATATCTTTTGCAACTTCTAAATGCTGTATGGATATTTTTTTCCTGTTATTACAAACCAAATGTTGTGGCCTATTATACTTTTTCTAATTGTCTACTGATGTAAATGAATTCTATTGATTTTGAACTTACTGATTTGTGCTCAGCAAGCAGACCAAACATCTTTTTAGCTTTACCAGTTTGTAGGTTGATTCTCTTGTGTTTTCTGTGTAATAACCAAATCCTCTGTACATATGGATAGTTTTGCCTCTTCCCTGTCTTATCCCTTATTTCTGTTACTTCTGACACTTCAGCAGCTAGGATGTTCTGTTACCTGTCAAACAAAAGGGGTTACCTTAGGCATCCTTGTTTGTTATTGACTTAAAAGGAAGCTTCTAGAATGTCTCTGTTCAGTATGATATTTGAACAATTTTACTAGATCTGCCACTTAGGCGGTAGACTGTCTAATGCTATGTTTATTAATAAAGAAACTGAAAACCTCACTTTGAGAGTTGGAATGTCTTGCCAATATAGTACTAAGCTCCAAATTAAACTAAAACTCTGAACACATTTTCCTAACTTAAAATATTTCTAATTATGCTTTTACCTCCCAGGTTTCTCCTTTCCTTTTGCAGAATTTTGACCTGAGGAATACAATATAATAGTACTAGGGGCTATCTGAAAAAAAAAAGATAAAAATAACTTACAGTTTCAGCTATAGATACACAGGTTCTGTACCAACACATATGAAGTATTCAATTAGTGTAACTAGTTTTACCATTATATATTGTTTTACCATTACTATCATAAGAGATTGATGTTTGAATCCTATCTGTACTTAGAAATTAACTGGTTAGTGATTTTAGGAATAACTTAAGCTTACTTTCTCTACATTGTATGTTGGCTCACAGGGTTGTTGAAAATGGGGTAAGAATTACACCAACCTTATAAGGTTTCATGAGGGTTATATGATCTAGTGGTTACAACAGTTATAATGATGTCTAACAAAAGCTATTGCATTTTTATTTTTCTGTTACCTTTATTATTTTAAAATGTCATCCATATATAATTCATTCTTTTTACTCTCTCCCCACACCCTGTCATTTCCCTTCCACCCCCCCTCAATCAATGCTCCCATCACTACCAGTTCATTTACCATATTCATGACTTTTGGTTTTAATTTTGACCTGCTACTTTAATTTTGACCTGCTGCTGGAGCCTGGTGGGATCATGAATGGGTCCACAACTGTAAGCTATGATTCCTTTCCCTGAATGTGTCGCTGGCAAACCAGCTCAGGAATCCATATCTGCTTGCCTAGGAGACAACAGTTTGCAGCCTTTCTCCCTGTCTTCTTGTTCCTACATTCTTTCTACTCTCTGTTCCAAAATATTCCCTAAGAAGGTATGATATAAGCCCTGTTTAGGGATAAGCATCCATCTGTGACTTACTATCAACACCTCGCACAGCCATGAGTCTTTGCATTTCCCACAATTTACTGGAAAAGTAGCTTCTCTGATTAAGGCTGAGAGTTACATTCATTTGTCTATATATAGAAACATAGATACTTAGAAGGCAGTTTGATACTTACCTGGCAGAGAGATACCATGATCACAAAGATGGTTTTCCAGGGAAAGGTTTATCCAATGCACTCCAGATGTGCTGACCCTTGGGATTTCCCCAAATGAGGGAAAGTTGACTGCATAATTTGTGGTAGTGGGAGACTGCATTCGTGCTCTCCCATGAAAAACTAAAAGGCAGTTTGAGTCTATGTCAATTTATTAAACAACAGCATTCAACATCCCCCTCTGGCGCCTGTGATCTCTCTTCCACGTTTTTGTTTTTGTTTTTACGAGATTTGTGGTACCAGGCACAGATTCCCTCCTGTAGAGAGGGTTACAAATCCAATCAGAGCAGCTAGTGACAGTAGAGTCACTATTGCACACGTGGGCACATCTTACCTAGGAGGTTGGCCCCATAGACTGTAGGGTCTCGTAGGCTGTCCAAGATTCTTTTTTTTAGTTTTTCTTATTTATTATTTTTTTTATTTTATGTGTATTGCCTGCATGTAGGTAGGTGCGCCCATGTTGTGCAATGCCTGCAGAGGACAGAAGAGGCTGTCGGATCCCCTGGGACTGGAGTTACAGACAGTTGTTAGCTGTTATGTGGGTGCTGGGATTCGAACCCGGGTCTTCTGCAAGAACATGCAGTGTTCTTAACCACTAAGCCATCTCTCCAGCCCCTGTCCAAGATTTTTTTAAACAGCCTTATAGATTTTGTCTCTTACTTTTAGATCTGTATTCCAATGGGGCATTATTTTAATATATGCTGAGTTTTAGTTCTCCAAATATCTTGCCTGGGTAAGGCCATTGATGCCTTTTCTCCACCAGCAGCCCTCATAGCACCTTCCAGGACTATGCAAGCTAGCTTGCAGGGAGAAAGCTTCCAGCTCAGTTCCAGCTTGATTTCCCTATATCATACATTCAAGGTATGTGGTGTCTTCTGCAATGAAGTCTTCTCATCTTGTTCTGGTGGGCAATCAAGAGAAATAAAAGGGGCTTGTATTGATTGGTGGCATCTGGGATCTCTCTGACCAACTCTTAAAAGGAGGTATCCCACCCTGGTGCTGGGGTTTATGTTCAATAACCCCCAGCTTCTAATGGCAGCATTTTTCAGTCATGTAGGGTATCTCCCTTCAAATTTTTTGTTTTAATAACTTTTACTTTTTTAATTCAAGTACAAGATAGTAGGTTTCCATATGGTTCTTTTATACCCCCTTCATTTTAGTTACCCTCCCATCCCCTCATCTCCCTATTCCCCCACCCCTCCTGTTTAAAACTTTCCACCTCTCAGTGTTCTCCCTCTCTACTTTTATATTACCCACACTCTATTATCCATACTCCCTTAAGGCATCCCTCTCCCTATGGCCTCTTTCTACTTTCCTGGTACTCCAAGATGAACACACAAAATCAGACGTTCAAAGCTAAGATTCACAGGGCTGGAAAGATGGCACAGCCATTAAGGACTCAGGCTCACAACCAAAGCTAGGATATTTTATATGAGAAAGAACACACAGCATTCATTTTTCTGCGCCTGGGTTATCACACCCATTATAATTTTTCCAGTTTTATCCATTTACCTACAAACTTCACAATTTCATTTCTCTTCACAGCTGAATAAAACTCCATTGCGTATGTCACAAACTTTTGAGCCTCACAAAAACTCTATGAGGCAGCAGAACCTAAGTGAGTAAGTACTGTTTACTCATTGTACAACAAGGAAAATGAAATTAAACTCAGGGACAGCAGCATGCCCAGTGAGTCTGTAATAGCAGATTCTTTTCATCTTTAAATTACATTTATTTATTTATGGGGGGGGAACCACTTGCATGTGGAGATCGTCTGTTCTCTCCTTCCAACGTGTGAGTACCAGGGACTGGTCGTCAAGCTTGATGGCAAGTGTTTTTACCCACTGGACCATCTTTCTGGCCCTAGTAGTACATTCTTACAAAATGTTAGACTACTTTCACTCAGATTGTATGACTTCTCCTGATTATCTGGAACCCATGACCACACCATGATCCAGTAAAAAGCTAACTCCAAATTAGCAAGAGTTAGAGACAGCCTGGTCGGGGAGCATGCATCCTGGATGAGTGTGTGGAATTTCACTTTTATTCACACTCTCTTCTCTGTCCACTCTGAGATGAGCAACCTCCTCTTCTACGTGCCACCACTGCCACAGTGCTCTTAATAGGGGAACCAAGGGTGATGCACGGAAATCTCTGAAACCGTGAGGCAAAACAAAGAATTCCTCCCTTTCAATTGTCCCATCAGGTGTTATGGTCACAGCTTTACAACATAAACTAATACAAAATTTAAAGCTTTGATATCGTTTCCAAAGAATTACTAAGTATATATATAAAAACTAAGCAATTATCCCCAGGTGACCCTGAATTTTGGTGTTCAAAAAACTACAAACAAAAAAAAGTCTATAAACTCTTAGCTTGGAACTCAAAATCTATTTTCTTATTGTAAAAACTCCCTCCTTTTTTCTGGTTGTTTGCATACAGGTCATCTTCTGGTTGACACTATAAACACTTTGAAGTCAAGCTGTGGGCCATATTCTTTACATTTCTTCAAAAGATCTAGCACACATTGGTGGTAGGCACCAACTATAAAATTGTTGTTGTTGCCTGCCTTAGTGGGCTAGCTACTTGAGGACTCTCCGTTGGGGGCAGGGGATGAGTAGGTGCGAAGTCAATGGCACAGGCTTTGGGAGACTCACTTGGCAGTTAGCAAGCAAGCTCGTTTATTGTGCCGTTAGGGCTTTCTTTTATACCCCCGCCCGATCCTCATTGGTTCTTTTGGCTATGTGTCTGCTCTTCATTGGTGCGGCAAGCTGTCCTCTGTTTGCGTCATTTGATGTTGTGCTTTATGGCAGGTTTTAGGTTAGCCTGAATAACGGAAGTATTTACCGGCCCATTTCCCCACACAAAATAAATGGATAGGTGAATTAATTGGCACCCTAGCAAAAAATTGATTAATAATGATATTTCTACAACAGACAAATCAAATTCAATAAAGGCTTATTGAACCTATATTTTAGAACAGGTATTTTTTACTTTATAAAAGTATAAAACCTACAGTGTGATATAATAATTTAGTCAGAATTTATGGTTTTTTTCTGGTGCATTTTCAGTACTCATACCTTTGAAGTAGGAGAACATATCCCTTGTGAATTTCTTATTTGGTATTTAACATTTGCACAAGAGGAAGCATCTTTCTGCATTTCTAAAACTACTCTTTAGGAAACGTACACACACTCTGAAAACTAAGGGCAAACATAAAATAAGACAGTTATTGCTGGACCATACCTAAATTCTTCTGCTTAGTTTATTGCTCAGATGCTTATTTGGCCTCAACTTTACTCTCCTGAGTAAATCAAATATATCTTTTAGTAATAGAGTATTTAAAAATAGAGGAAAAGCACATCCGGGGAATTTAATGTCTTTTAATCTACCTCCAAAAGTTTATTTAAAATGACAAGCATTTGCCAGTTCAACCACAAACTAGGACCACGGTGCCATGTGATCAGCATCTGAAATGTTGCTGACAAATCTTCCCTTAGAACAGGTTACATTTCATCGTCAACAAGTCTTTAGTCTGTTTGCTGAGTCATTTTCTAAATAACTTCCTCTCTAGGCACAGAAGTCACTTAGCAAGACTATATTAAACAGTTATAGGAAACCTGAAAATGTTTAAGATGGAGAATGTGCTCATAGTATTTATTGTCAACTTGATAGAGCCTAGTGTCACCTGGGAAATCACAACTGAGAGATTGCACAGTTCAGACTGGACTGTGGCCAGACCTCTGAGGAACTGTCTTAATTATTGATTGATGTAGGAGGGCCCAACCCATTTAGGAAGTTTCTCCTTGGGCAGACAACTCTGGGCTTTGTAAGTGCAAGCCAGGAAGCAGCATTCCTCTTTGGTTTCTACCTCTGTCCCTGCTTGAGTTTCTGCCCCAGCTTCCCCCAGCCAGAGAGTCTTACCTGGAAGAATATGCTAAAATATACCCCTACTTCCCAAGTTGCTTTTGTCAGCAACAGAAAGGAAACTGGAACAGAGTTTGAAAAGGTGTATTGTTTCCAACTTAGAAGATATTTTGAGGTTTGTACTAGCAGACTAGCACACATGGTCTCCTCATTAGCATCCAAAGTTCCATCAATGCATCAAGCACAGAAGGTTCTGTGGTTGCAACTTGTTTACGTAGCATCAGAAACAAACTTCATAGTATTTGTCTAGTTCAGAAGTCATTTTTTCTCATTAAAAAGCCAAAGCTAGCAGATCAGTGCAGAGATTGGCAATCACTGCTTGGGAGAAACTCAGCAGTGGGATGCTGTCATTTTGCTATTAGTGCTGTATGGTGGGTATTAATCTCACCCTGGTTCATTCAAGTGCATCCGCTGGAGCATATTCCTGTTAAAGCATGATTTTTAGGTAATATTAAAGAAAAACTCCTTGTTCTCTTTAAAAGTTGAAGGATATCTACACATGTGAGTTGTTGGCTCGTCTGGAATTACCGGACCTTTCCAAAATTTTTATTTAATGCTGTGTGGATTTGAAATATTTTTCTTGGGTCTCCAGTTCTACAATCTGTTTCCTGTGAAACTTAGCATTGCTGGTATTCTAATGAAAGAGGCTCAGTTTCAGGGATTAACAAAGCCCAAAACATCAAATTTAAGTCCAAAGTAAGCAGCCATTAGGAACAAATATTGATTAATAGTTCCTCTGTTATTTTGAAATTTTCAGTGATACAGTTTGTTGACCGCTTTCGTAATAGCTACCAGTACACTACTTGCATTACTAGAAAATATCAATACAGGTTCTACAAACTTTTAAAGGATCATAAAAATTATTTTCACATTAAAATAAGTTAAAAGCAAGATAAATACTTAGTATTAACACAATGGTAGATAGAACTTTAAATGACATCCAGGATAGTGTGTGCTTCTGGTCCTTCCGCTGTTTCACCAGTTAGTTGTTCCTTCACAATCTGTTTTCCCGGTCCCACCACAATTCCTTACGGCTTAATACTAAATTGGGGTATTTCAGGCCTCTGTCCTTAAGCTTTCTCTATATATACTGATTATTTCATTTTTCTTTCTCTTTTGAGACAGATTGTCATGAATCTCAGGCTGGCCTTGACCTTGCTATGTAGCCAAGAATGAACTTGATCTTCTG